CTGATCACTGAGATAAAAGGTATGCACCACCACCACACCTGGTTTAGATCGCCTATCTTTTTAAAACTCTTAATTAGAGAGCTCTCCAACTCAAATAAGATTCACAATTTGTAAAGATGATGGCTAACACTGTCAAATTGACAGGATCTAAAATCTCAAAGAGACAAAGCTCCGAATACATCTATGAAGAACTGTCCAGATAAGGTTAACTGGGGTACCCACCATAACTGTGAGCTGCACCTCTGGGTTGGGGGGTCTCAGACTGCATAGCTATGGGGACTACAAGCTGTCATCCCTCTCTGCATCATGACTGCAGCTGCAAGGTGACCAACTGCTTCAAGCTCTTGCTGCCCTGACTTATCCACCACAATGGACTATACCTCAAATAATAAGCCAAAGAAAACCCTTCCCTCAGTGGTTAAGAGGACTTGCTACTCTTTCAGAGGAAAATAAGCACCTAGCACCTAGGTGGCTCATAACTGCCTATAACTCCAGTTCCAAAAGATCCGATAATCTTTTCTGGCCTCTACACATGGCAGAAACACATGCACATACATACATACATACAAATAACAATAAAATTAATCTTTTTAAAAATAAAAAGATAAACCTCTCCTTCCTTAAGTTGCTTTTGCCAGATATCACAATAATAAGACAAGTAACTACAACAGTGTGAATTACAAAGTACAAACTGGGCATGGTGACTCACTCCTATAATCTCAGCACTCCATAGGAAGAGGTAGGCAGATCTCTGTGAGTTTGAGGCCAGCCTGTTTTATACAGGAAAGTCCAGTCCAGCTTGAGCTAGACAGTGAGACCCTATCTCAAAAGGAAAAAGAAGAAGAAAAAGGAAGAAAGAAAAGAAAAAGGAAGGCTTCTAATTTTAGACATAAATACTTCATTCACTAAAAGCAGACTGGTTACTCAAAACAGATTAATTTTGAATTCATCCAAGTAACTACCCATAAAATAGGCACAAGAAGAAAGCATTACTAAATGTCAAGCCAAAAATCCCTCCATCCTTCTTGGAATAAAATTCAAAACATGAAGGCTGCCAAGCAGTGGTGGCTCAGGCCTTTAATCCTACCACTTTGGAGGCAGAAGCAGGTGAATCTCTTTGAGTTCAAAGCCAGCCTGGTCTATAGAGCAAGTTCCAGGACAGCCAAGGCTAAAGAGGAACTCTGAAACTCTGTCTCAAAAAAAAAAAAAAAAAAAAAAAAAAAAAAAGGCTGGGAGATGGTAAAGTGCTTACCATGTAAACATGGGGGCCCTAGTTCAGATCCTTAGCACCCACATGCAAATGCCAGGTGCAGTGGCATGTGCCTGCAATCGCACCAGGGAAGCAGGGATAGGAAGATTCCCTGGTGCTTGGTGAATGGAAGTCCAGTCAAGTCAGTGAGCTCCAGGTTCAATGAGAGACTGTCTCAAAAAATAAAGTGACAAATGATTGAGGAAGACTCTTGACATTCACCTCTGACCTCGACATTCATGTGTGCACACACATGCACCTGCAGTTGCACTGCATGGGCACACACACACACACTCACACACACAAACACATACAAACCAAAAACTCAAGAAATGTTCTATATAAATGAAATAGTTCTTTGTTTTTATTCAAGAATAAACTGAGTTAAAGCAAGCTTCAAATTCTTTGTACAGTGAAATTATATACGTACATGTTTATATATTTACATAAATATATAGATATAGACACACAAACATATACATACCTAAACAGTCTATAAAGGCTCTCTCTGTTCAGCAGTTTGTCTGTCACAATGCTTACTTCAATACAAACCTAAAGGGAAGAGAGAAAAGTATCTTTTTGTGTAATATTTCCTACTTTTATAATAGAGATTACATTACCACTCATGTAATACACTATTTTCTTAGTTACATATTTAATTAACCAGGCAGACCCGTACCCCTATTTGTAACAGCAACATTAGCCACAGCATCGATATTAAGTACTGAGACTAGTAACAGCGATTACAACTGCTATTGTATCTTCATATTCCCTTTGAAATACTTAATTTCTTTTCTTTTTTTCCAATAACTTTTACATTTATAAAATGTATCTTCTTTGCTTTGGGGGGAGCACACTTGCCACAGCACCTGTGTGGAGGTAAGATGGTAATTTTATGGAGTCAGTTCTTCTTTCCCTTTCACCTGGGATTGGCATTGAAGCTCTATCATCAAGCTTGGACGGTAAAAGCCTTTCCATCAACCATTTTGCCAATACTTTTTCAACAGCCTTTAGGTCTTATGTCATTTCATAGTATTCCTCTTTACTTTTGATTTACACAGATTTAATTTTGTAAGTCAAACCTGTAATGTAGCAAGAGAAAACTAAGCCTTAAATACTTAGTTACAAAAAAAAATCTGTTTAGGATGGAGAGATGGCTCAGCAGTCAAGAGCTCAATTCCCAACACTCACAACCACCCAGAACCCAACTCCAGGAATCTGACACCTCTGGCTTTCTTAAGGCAGTTGCACTCAAATGGACACACCTGCACACAGATACTCACATATACACAATTTTTAAAAAATAATACAAGTAGCTGGGTGGTAGCAGTGCATGCCTTTAATCCCAGTACTCAGGAGGGAAAGGCAGGCGGACCTCCGTGAGTTTGAGCCAGCCTGGTCTACAGAGCAAGTTCCAGGACAGCTAGGGCTATTACACAGAGAAATCCTGTCTTAAAAAAACATAAATGCACAAATGTTATTCAAGTAACTTTGTCTCTGAAACTATAAAACCTCTCAAAATGACTTCTCAAAAATGTATAAATACAAATTATTTTGCAAACCATTTCTAAGGGTTCATTAACCTTCATTTAAAAGCAAGTATATTTGAATATTCTACCTTTTTTCTTTTTTTCTTTGTCTTTTTTTTTTGAAAAGAGCACAGGTGTGGAAAAGTTAGAGAATAACTTTAGGAGTGAGTTCTATCCATGCAACCTGAGGGTCCCAGAGGAGCTAGGGTCAGCAGTCTTAGTGACAAACTCTTTACCCACTGAACTATCTTGCTAGCCCAATGTACATTTAATCGACTTTTAAAAGTCTTTAATCCCAGAACTCGGGAGGCAGAGGCAAGTGGATCTCTGTGAGTTCAAGGCCAGCCTGGTCTACGGAGCTAGTTCCAGGACAGGCTCCAAAGCTACACAGAGAAACCCTGTCTTGAAATAAATAAATAACATTAAATTAAATCCTTACAAACTCCCAACCTAGTTTCTTCTGAGATCCTTATAACACATACTGCAGTGCATCTAAAAGATTATGAAAAGAATGCACATTCTATTTAAAGGTGGGGTTTTGTCATTGCTCTCTTATTTTTCTGGTGCTGGGCATCCAACTAGAGTTTAGGTAATTAGCCTACCCCTGTGCTATGGCCCAGCCCTTAAGCTGTATTGCGAGCTCCTAGCTCAGTTAAGAATTTTGGCTGCATGGGTGAAACTCGAATATGCCAAGCACAACACATTCAAAGGGTGGAGGGGAGGGATTTATAGTCACAAAATATCAGTATGAATAATTAAAACCCAATTTCCTTTCTTAAGTAAACAGCGTGTAATTAAGGCAACTGGAGTTTAGTAAGTCTCGGGCTGCATTCCTGAAACTGCAACCACATGCCAGCACTGTGCTAGACACCTTGTCTGCCCTAACACTAAGCTAGTTCCAGGCACAAGATGTTCTCAAGCAAAGTCGGTCCAGAGCCAATACACAAGCGCGACAGAACCTGGGGTCTGGCAGTTGAATTTATCTCCTGATGCAATATGAAAATGGATACTTGCACGCATTAATTCTAGTAATGGTACAGTGGCATAAAGCTTTACCTAAACCGTTTATGTTAACCAGAGAAATGGAAAAAGCAAAATGCAAATAGATTAAGTTAACATCTCATATTCAACTTTGAATTCTGGCACACTGAAAGAAAGACAAATAAGACCGTATTTCCTAGTTGAGATGATTTAAAACCATTAGGAGAACAGAGAACAAGTGACCCAGAAAAACTTACAAGCCAAATGACAAACAGCAGCTGACCATGTAGAGGACGGAAAGTATGTGGACTAGGGAGTCCGAGCCCCTTGAGACGGAATGGGGGAAGACAAGTATTCAAAGGCTCACAGGCACTTTCAGCAACCATTATGGAAAAAGAATGAACCAGCTAACCGTTCCTGGCTGTGGCAACAGCGTTGGGAATCAAATTCAGGGCCTTGGGAATGCTAAGCAAACACTTTGCCACTGAGCGACAGCCGGGCTATGAGCCTGGTAACTATTTCAACTGAAGAGGTGAAACAATGTAGGGGTCCAGAGTCTCGCGGGGCATCCAGGGTAGTTACATTTAATAGAGGTGAGCTTTGTTTCAAGTGCATCCCAGAGATTAGACCTTTTCTCTATCGAAACGCCACCACCACCCCCTCGCAGAGGCAGATCTGGTTCACAGATGAATAAACCGAGCCCACACAAAGCACAGGAACACGGACCAGTAAGTGTCCACGCACTTCCCTGTGCCATCTCCAGGCGGGAGCCCACGGCACTGGTGCACAGCAACCATGGGCCTTGCCGAATTCCTCCGATCCGAGAACTCGGGTGGAGAATGGAGCCTCTATGAAAAAGGAAAAGTTACTTTGGGGAGCCTGGGGGTCTTCCAGGGATGTAGAGCTTTGGAACTCTTGAGAAGCACCCGGCATAGACAGACCGAGGTTTGTGGATCACGAAGCGGGGAGGAAAAGTCAGAAGCCCTGAGTGAAGAGCCAAAGTCAGCTCTTGCCCTTCCTGATCCTGGAGGAGGGCGAGCCTGCAGGTCTCCCAGCCTCATCAGTTACTGGGGACGGCGGGGGAGGGGAACGTGCTTGGCCGGGCTGCCAAGAAACTGGGGACAATCGGTGAGCCCAGCGACAAGAGGTCCCGCGACAAGGCGGGGAGGGCCGGTCTGTGGGGACCGCGCCCGGTCCAAAGGCCCCGGCGTGCAGGCCCCGCGCCCTTTCCCGGACCTTACCGCCGCTCGGTGCAGAGGGGCAGGCGGCCCGCACAGCCCTCGGCCCACGCCCGGGACGCGTCTTCCGGAGCTGCCGCTCCTCGGGCAGCGCCAGGTCGGGTCGGAGCGAGCTTACTCCCGCGTGGCCAGCCGCGGCCTTCGGGACGCTGCCGTGCGCGTCTGAAGCCTGCAGTGCAGGAAGGGTCAAGGCGCGCCCCGCGTGCCAGGCGGCGACGGCCGCACTGCCCAGCGAACCCGACGCCGTCCGCCCTCAGCGACACCGCCGCGGCGCCGCTTCCCCCGCGCTCGCTCGCTCGCTCGCTTTGGCGGCGGAGCAGCACGGTGCACGCCGATTGGTCCTCCGCGGCGTGACGCGCGGCGACGCTCTCCACGGATTGGCCGGACCGCGGTGCGTGTAGGGAGTAAACAAAACCCGCCCCCAAGCTCGCCAGCGGGATGGGGGGCCGAGGTGGGTGGCGGGCTCCCGGAGCTTGCCCTGGCCCTTTGGCCTCCGCTCCTCTCCCCGCTAGGGGCCGCCCTGCCTGCGGCTGGTCCCCTGCCACATCAAGGGGCGGCCAGGCGGCCTGAAGCCTGAAAGGCTAAACTCGCCGGTTCCCCTTAAGCCTCTCCCCTCCGCCCACCGTCTGGCTTCTACACTGCGGTCCTCTTTTCCATCCCACTTCTCTTGAGAAGATGGGAACTAAGGTCCGTACATCTTGGTCACGGACCTTTGATGGGCCACTACTCCAGGAGCAGCAGGGAGGCAGATGGGCAACAGTGACCCGGAGGCCACGCATGGACCACAGAGGAGGCGGTCCTGCTTTAATTCCTGGAGAAGTCCTGCTTCTATTCCTTAGTCCACATCATGTCAATCACATCGAAGTTGAACAGAAAATGGAGGCACACACTCCCCAGTACCTGCTCATTTATTACTCAGTTTGGTATGGTGGCTCGTGTCTTTAATCCCAGCACTCAGGAGGCAAACAGAGACAAATTTCTGCGAGTTTGAGGCCAGCTTAGTCAACCTAGCAGGTTCGAGCCAGTCAGCTGCATAGTGAGACCCTGTCTCAAGAGGAAAAAAAAAGAGTTCTTTTGCCTTTTCAGGTGAATGTGTGAAATCCTGTGTAAGCACCGTAGTTACTGTAGAAGTTTGGAGGTAAAATAGGAGAATCTGACTTTTAAATGATGACCCCAGCACTCAGGAGTCAGAGGCAGGCAGATTTCAGAGTTTGAGGCCAGCCTTGTCTACAGAGCAAATCCCAGGACAGCAAGGGCTACACAGAGAAACCCTGTTTTGAAAAACCAAAATTAAAAATTTAGATACTTTAATCTTTCTCATTTCTTCATAGCTCAATGAGTCAAAGACAATTTGTAATGCTGGGACAAGAGACAAAAATTCTTGGCTTCATTGAGCTATGTCCCAATGAGGTGGGAAAGTCGATCCTCAAAATACTAAAACAAACAAACCAAAAACTCAAGTTATAGTAATCCCAGTACTCTATAGCTGGAAGCAAAAAGTCAGAAGTTCAAGGTCATCCCCAGCTACAAGGCCATTTGGTGCCAGCCTGGCTATGTGAGCCTGTATTTCACAAAAACAGGCCCAGCCATAACAAAACTACTATAGTCCATGTTGGTACAGACATAAAAACAAGTTGAACACGTAACTTAATAGTATGATAAAGGAAATCAACTCTGAGAGGGTGCCATTGAGTAACTATCAGCCCAGAGTGATGGCATATGCTTCTGGGAGGCAGAGTCAGGAGTTTGAGATCAACCTGGTCTACATGATATGCTATCTCAAAAATTAGACAGATATAGTAGAATGAATGCATAAAGAGGGGAGGTAGGCAAGAGAGAAAACACCTTTGGCTCTTTCTTTGGAAGAATTGGAGAGAGTTTCTGCACAATGTTCATGGGTAAAACCCTCAGAACTCTATAACTACCTGTAACAGATTCTAAAATCCAAAAACCTCAATTGAGTGATGATTGCCTTTTCCACTGACAAGTGAATTCAGATTTATTTAATTTTCATAAGATATTTTGTTAGGGTACAGTGTTCAGCTTATTCAATAAATACTTGCCAGGCTGGGTGGGTGGTGGCACACACCTTTAGTCCTAATATTTGGGAGGCAAAAGCAGGCAGATCTTTGAGTTCAAGGCCAGTCTGATCTACAGAGTGAGTTCCTGAACAGCCAGGGCTACACAGAGAAACCCTGTCTCAAATAAACAAACAACAACAAAAATTTACCAATCACGGCATTAAAGATACACAAGTCAGCATGACAGAAAATCTTTACCTTAATCCAAGGAAGAAAAATTATGAAGCCCCCAACATGTATAGCCACAAGAAAAGCAGACCCATGAAATTATTGGGCTAGTGTGGAGAAAGGAATTTCCAGAACCTCATTGCCTGTCAAGGAAGCACTATATACATGTCCATGCTAGAATGGAGAGAATGCATAAATTAGAGATCACAATACTGCTGTGTGGATCCCGGGGGTTAAAATCAGGTTGTCAGTTTTGGCAACAAATGCCCTTACCCCCTGATTCATCTTGCCATATTCCCTTAACCTGTTTCTAAGGTGAAAGCTTTGAGAGAAAAAGATAAGTTGAGCCAATCGCAGTGGTACATGCCTTGAGTCCCAGCACTTAGGAGATAAAAGGTACGTAGATCTTTTCAAGTTCCAGGCCAGCTTGGCCTACATATTGAGTTCCAGACAAGCCTGGACTTGATAGAAAGATCATATCTCAAAAAGCCAAAAACAAACAAACAACAAACCTAAGTTGAACAATATGAAAGTACTATATAGTTTGGTGACCTCTTGTGAGAGCATGAGACATTCAATAAGAACAGTAAATGTTCAATAAGTATGCCAGTTATTCATTATCATTGCTTTTGAAACAGATAATTTAAAAGCCCACATTCCACAGCAGCTTCCAAAGCCACAAAGCTAAATCCCCAGTAGAAGGCTTCAAATTTTCCATACACTAGTTTGATCTAGCTGTGAATTTCCATGACCTAATGAGGGTATGCTGTAAAAGACAGTAAATGCTAGTTTCACAGCAGGCCAAGAATTCAGAACAAGGAAGAACAGCTTGGTGTTGAAGCCAAATACTGAAAGTTCTCCAGTACAGAATAAATTGAGTTCCTACAGGGATGAAAACTCATGTAAATCAATTTTTCATTCCCACTCAGTTCCAATTTAGCAATGTGCACAAACAGCTTTCTGTCTACCTTCTCATCTCCCCATTAAGAGATCCTATTTCCTTTGAAACAGAAATTAAGTCTTCACCACCTCCAATACCAGAGAATAGGGGCCTGAGCTGTGACGCCACATTCATTGACTCAGCACTTATTAAGCACTTACTGTATACCAAACACAGGATTGGAAACGTAAGCATAAAGAGCATAAAGAGCTGTTAGGTGGCATTTCGTGATCGTGGAACAACCTCTCGGCCCACCCAGATCATAAGTTTATGCTGATATCAGCTGAACTTAACTTACTCCCAAAAGGAATCTCCTGGTAGCCCATCTTCAGCTCTTTCCCCATAAAATTTTGTCTGCCTGCTTAATATTTATTAATGCTCTCATGACCCACTTGGACCTGTAGCCTGCTGGGCTTTAAGTGCCTTCGGAGTCAGAGTGACTCATTTCCAGGGCCATTATGGATAAATACACAGCAGCTAGCCAGCAAGTATATTCGGAAGGAGAAGCAAAGTATAATGAGCAAGACACGGTAAGGAACACCTGCAGTTCTAGGTACTCAGAAGACTAAGGCAGGAGAGTTGGGAGTTCAAGACCAACCTAGGGTACATAGTAAATTCAAGAGCAACTGAAAAACTCTGTCTTACACTAAATATAAAAAGAACAAAGACTGGGCATGCAGCTCGCTGGGTGAGCATTTTCCTATCACTTACAAGGCCCTGGGTTCAATCACCCCTGCAGACAAAGACATACAGGTAAAGTCACCCTTAGTGGGTCCTGCCTGGACTGGCAGCACTTGGGGAAGGCAGAGGCAAGAAGATCAGGAATTCAGATCCAGTGAGTCCAAGGCCAGCACAAATGAAGAAACCCTACAAGAAAACATGTCTCAAAAAACTTACAAACACAGGGACAATAAGATGGCTCTGTGAGATTCTTAGTTAGAATTTCCATTACTGTGACGAAACATCATGACCAGAAAGCAAGTTGGGGAGGAAAGGGTTTATTTGGCTTACACTTCCCCATCACAGTTCATCATCAAAGAGTCAGGATAGAAACTCAACAGGGCAGGAACCTGGAGTCAGGAACTGATGCAGATGCCCTAGAGGGGTGGTGTTTACTGGATTCTTCTCATGGCTTGTTCAACCTGCTTTCTTGTAAGAACCCAGGACCACCCAGGGATAGCACCACCCACAATGAGCTGGCCCCTCCCCCATCAATCTATAATTAAGAAAACTCCCTACTGCTGGCTCTTATGGAGACATTTTCTGAGGTTCCCTCCTTTCAGATGACTCTAGCTTGTGTCAAGTTGACATAAAACTAGCCAGGAAAATGGGTAAAGGCTCTTGCCCCACAATCCTGATGGCCTGATAACTGAGTTAAATCCCCAGAGCTCATGATAAAAGGAAAGAATCAGCAGCTCCTGAAAGATGTTTTCTCTCTCTCTCTCTCTCTCTCTCTCTCTCTCTCTCTCTCTCTCTCTCTCTCTCTCCCCCCTCTCTCTCTCTCTCTCACACACACACACACACACACACACACACCACATCACGGCACACACACAATCTGCACTCACACACACAGTAGTAATAAATAAGTATGCTTTTTAGAAGTCAGCCTTCCTTGTAAATATGTGGGCCACAGAATCATCAGCGGAAAGGGGGCTATGAAACTGTTAAAGTCTGGGGGCCTCTCCAACTGTAATGTCCTAGGAATCACCCAGGGAACTCTCATTAAACTTTATGTTCAAGGCGTGGCCTAGATTCCACATTTCCTGCAAGCTCCCAAAGGGATGCTGATGCTGCCTCACCTGCCAAACACATCGTAGGCAGGAACACCCCTACTGACCCCTTTTTAATTGCCCAGAAAAACATGATTTTTTTTTTTTTTTAAAGCATTCTCTTCTATACCCTATCTATTCATTGGCTGGAGAAAGGAAAAACACTTAACGGGACAAAACTGGGTGTTGTCTGGGAGCATTACTCCTAGAATATACAGATTAATCACTTTAACAGTACAGGGAGGAACCAGGGCCTTGAATTTGAAATACAGCCTCTCCCTAGTTCATTTCCCAAAGCTGAAAATTGGAGTAGCAGAAGGATTTCAGTTCCTCTTCACGAAAG